TCATTTTATGAACTTGTGCGCGTTACCATATATAAATTAAGAATATGGTAACGCGCACAAGTTCATAAAATGACAGATGTAATACCCTTAGAATAGAATGTTCCAATTAGCGGAAAACTGCACCCTTAACCCATTACCCAGTGATAACTATTTCCTCCTTTTATTCCCAGTAACACTTCTCGCACACAATAAAACCCGCGATCACTGTTCAACACTTCCTAACAACAATTCATTAGCGTAAATTATGCATAAAACGAAATAGGAAAGAAAACATCAACCGGTATATTTCCACATGAAATACTCTTACTTTTCCTCTTGCAGGGTTTTGGGTTTATTTTTTATTTCATTTAAACAATTTGAATACATTATTATGATTTACTTTTGTCAGTCAATCACTTGTCTTAGTTTGCTGTGGTATTACTATCAGCTAGAGCAACACCCCTTTACAATTTGCTCATTCAAATGTTGAGTTTTAAATTTTTGTTTGGTGTTACCATTTACTGGTTAATCAATTACCAGTATACGATAATCTATTATGTTTCACTGGCTTCAAAACATAATGGCCTCCAGTCCGGAGAGATAATAGTAAAATATTAATCTATGTCTTGAAATTATGCAGTCTCTTGTAAGACATAATTTTCGTAATAAAAACTATAAATTTAGAAAAAAAAAGCAACTGTAATATTTTGTAATCGAGGTAAATACATTTTTTATCATTTTCAATAACACTTTTGAACTTTCATTTAATAATGTACTAAAATTGTTAGGCCTTTTAGTTTTTGTAAGTTGTTACCTTGACCTAACCATATTCACAGTTCTAATTCAAACTAAAAACACAATTCAGATATCACAATATTTTATTTCCGTCATATAACACTTTTTAATGCATACTATTTTTATTGAATAGTTTTTATTGTGGGAATTCAAGAAGAAACCAAGAAAAATACTCCTTCATTGTTATACATTTTTACGTACTATTATTATCACATTTTTCCCGCTACTGTCATTTCAATGTGTGAAAAATGCAATGCCATGTTACACAATATAAAATTATAAAGTGAATTGATTGTTGTCTGAATGGTTGCATGCATATACTGTCATTTAAATTTCATAAAATTAGATGAGACATTTACCGTTGTTGTGTGGTGTAAAATTTCCAGACTATAGTATACTTTAAGGCGTCACTTGAAAACAAATATATAAAAAAGCTTACCAGATTTTTTTGGAATTAATTGGGATTATTTCAATAAGCTTTTAAATACAAGAGGGACTTTGGAAGTCAACAATGAAAGAAACATAGTGATACAGAGACTCAAAATAATCTTTGAAACCATATAAATTTAAAAGAAATAAAATTTTTGACGGCAAGGGAATATGTCAAACTGTAAAAGCTTTTTTCTCGATACAGCGTATTTAAGAATAACAGGAGATACTCGTCAAAAAGTTAATTATTCCACTTTATTTATTAGCCAGAACTACACTCTTTCTATTCCCTTCAGAAGTTATAATTGAAACGAAATATTCTACAAGTCGTACTCTTCAATACCAGGAAAAAAGGTTGGGAACAAGTATAGTTTAGGGCCCCTCCCGAATCGTTTTTATCACATGTAGTCCTTGGGGCCCTGATTATAACAGTATATTTTTGTTCTTGCGGAAATCGGTATTTCCGGAGATATGGGCCTCCAAAGTTCCGTTGGGACCCTTGTATTTTCTCATAAATTTTTAAAATCCACTAAGGCAATATGTGCATAATTTTAAAGCATTTGAAGCCCTAATTACTGATATAATATTCATATCAAATAAGTCCATACTATCTGAGATATGTTTTCCTTCTGAAAAACAATATTGGTATTGGTCAATTAAAAGCGGCTGAAAAACAAGTTACAAAAATATAACTGCGGCTACGCGACATAATCTCATTTTAATTAGAATAGTGTTTGTGGGTAGCCGGCCTTCGGTCGTTCCATCATCTTTTTCGAAGAAGTAAGGTCTAATCATAAACCACGAAATGGATACCCTTGTATATTGTATAGATTGCCATGATTGTGACAAAGAAAATGTAAATATCTATAGAATATTTTCTCATTGGATTTCGCACAAGTTGACAATCGATTTATGGATAGAAAAAATTACAAATAATTGCAAATGCTTCGCCTGTGCCTTTGGCATAATACAATCCGAATTCTCAACATCGGCTGAAACGAACAATTTGGCCGTCCAATCCGTATTTTTTTTTTTTTTTTTTTTTTTTTTTTTGTACCGATTTTCACGAAGCTTAACACACATCACTCTAGACTTAATTTAGAACGCCGTGCCAAATTTCGTGCAAATCGAGGGACATAAAGGGACTTTGGTGCACTAATTACCTAAAATCGGACGAAAATATATTTGGGAGCTATATCTAAATCTAAACCGATTTTTCCAAATTTCAATAGCGTTCGTCCTTGGGCCAAATAGATGAGCTGTGCCAAATTTCATCCAATTCTGATAATAAATTTAGTGCCTCGGGTACCTCACCCTCAAATTGTTGAAACTAAATAATAGGTCTGTTTAATCAATCAAAATTTATGAAATAATATATGATAAGCTAATAGGCTAAAGCTAGTTATATTTATAGCGCTTCCAAAATATAAAGGATGTTTATACCCTACACAACTATGTTGTCAGTGTATTATAGCTTTGTGCAGCCCCAAGAGTTTGTAACGCCGCGATATATTGGTTCTATACCCACCTTTAAGTATACCATATGTCAATTAGCTGCGTGGATCTAGACATGTGTGTTAGTCCGTCTGTCCATTGTAATTTGTAAACACGATACAGGTCACAGTTATGGACCAATCTTCACGAAATTTTGCATGTAGGATGGGTTGTGACCAATGAAGGCACCTATTGTTTTTGGTAAAGATCGGTTAATATTTAGGGGTTGAAATGGACCAAATACTTAATTTTGTCGGTTTTTCTGGTCGCTCTAGAGTCCGCATTTATGGTCAGAACATCCCGAAATTTTACACGGAGAAGGAGATCGGGCCAAATGATAAGCATGCCTGTTTACATAAAGATTGGTCAATATTTGGCGGGTGAAATGGACCCTGACTTTTGTGTGAAAAAATTACAAAATTTGTATACTATGGCGTATATATTCACTCCTAAAGAACACAGACCCGAATGGTAATGGGTTAATAAATAATATAGGAGTATGTAAGCACCTGTGAATATTTAAGTGTAATTCCCACATCCGAGTAGATACGATAATATAATTGGTATCAATTTTAAATTTTCCATGAGGTTCCAGTTATGGTCAAGTTATAATTATTTTGTGTTTTTTCAAGTCGATACCAATAATAAGCCGAACATCACAACACAACCCACGGTGAAGAGAATCTGGACAATAAATTAGAAGGGCTGTACTGAATATGAATAGTAATATTCGGAAAATATGTCAGTGTAAGGAAGAAGTGCTGTTCACCTCTAATGGGGCTAAAGAGAGAAAATATCACGAAATATTGCCCAGGATCGGAATAAACATCCGGAGAAAGTTAGAGTTACGTGATAGTTGTGTAGGGTATCATATGGTCGGCCCCGTCCGACTATACTGCTCCGCTCACAGGTTTTTTAGCTATTTTCGAACAATGAATTTTATTATCAGCAATTGGACCTATGTACTCAACCCCGTGGAACATTTTGCAGAATGACCTAGTTGTGAACCTTTCAAAATACAGCTGGTGGATACATTGAAGCCGAAGGACCTACCGCAACAATGAATGGGCTCTTAAAAGTTTAGCCAATGATCTGCTTTATGAGAGTATGCCAAAAATTTGCGTGAAATAATCTTCAACGACCGTATTATCGATTCAAATAAAAAGTTTATGCTGTTGTCTAAATTTTATGTTATTTTTTTTTCTAATTTCTCTATACCTCTTAAAAATCACTTTTTAAACCATGCATATTTGTTCCTTAAAAATATACCAAAGCATAAAAAATCGAACACATGTTTTTGTTTAAAATTTTATATTTATTTCAGTACGTATACGAACTTGTTGTTGTGTTTTATTCGAACAAATATTTGATTAAAAAAACATTTATAAATAAATTCCAATTGTGTAAGAAATCTATAATTTATAACGGAAGAACAAAAAAGGTGATGTTAGACATAACATTTTTTTTCGAATACATACTTTTAATGGTATTTACAAAACATTTTCAATATTCACAATTTATTTTATTTACAAACTAATATACATATATATAGAGACAAACACAAGGGGAAATGTGCACAGAAATCTTATGCTAAATATAGACATAAAATAATAATAATTAAATTATATATTTATTTATTTTTACATAACGAAAGTGCACAAAAAATCATATGGGTTGGAGGGAGAGATATTAAAGCCAAGTTAAGTAGTGACAAAAATAACCATTAATTTTTTTAAATATTAGAACACATTCCAAGGAGAAGATTATCAAAAGGAAGAAATCCAAATTAAAAAAAAAACAAATACTTTTGTTTCATTCGTAAGAATTATTTTGAAAATTTTAATTTATTTCGGAAAATTTTAAAACAGACTAGAAATCTATGAAAAATACAGAAAGTGTCTACAAAATTTCGAAAATAATACAAGGCGAAAAAATAACACAATTGAAAACTACACCTACTTAATTGATTAAAAATAAAATTAAACATAATAATTTGTAATAATAAACTAATATTTACAAGAAAATATTATTAAATGAATAAATGAATTCATTAAATATTTGAAATATTTTCGAAATATTTCCAAAGATGTATTCATACGTCGCTTCGACGATGAAAGCACCAATCTTAGCACTTGCGAAATAAAATACAAATACATACATAGATACAAAAAAAAGAAACACAATTTATAATAATACTGCTACGAGCACATGATGATGAAACATTCTAAGGAGGTGGAATGGAAGTGTGTATGTGGGAAGGTATGGACTTTAAGGATGCATGTTGAACTGCACAGTGAAAGGAAACGCCGCAATTTGCCTAATGTCAAATTTCACATTCAAATTCTGATATACGGTGATTGAAATACACCATGCCCTGCTCTAGATCTTCACTGAAACCGCTAACATCCATATAATCGGAAGCGGCGGAATCATCATCGACCCACTTGTGTAGCGAACGATTTATTTCCAAACGGCACTGTGTAAAGCTGGGTCGCATATGGGGATCCTTGTGCCAGCATCGTGACATTAGATTGTAGAATTCGTGGCGGCCTTCTTTGGGCAAATCGGGTCGTAAGCCTTGCGGTACACGGCGTATTACTTCACGTCCAGTCAAGTGTGAGTATGGGGTAGAACCTAAAAAATTAAACATAATATTAAATAATGTACATGTGTTTTATGGTAAAGGGAGAGAGAAACTACTCTCTCGTTTTCTCTCTCTCTCTCTTTTCAATTTCATACCTAATGTTGCAATTTCCCATAGCACAATACCAAATGCCCATATATCCGTTTCTGTGCTGAATATATTATATTGCAGCGATTCGGGTGCCATCCATCGTATCGGTAATGCCGGTCTCTTACCAATTGTATCCTGACCCTTCTTTTCACTACAGCCTCCATCTTTGTGTGGACTACCACCACCGGCACCATTCGGCCAATGATTCATTATAAATTTACCACCAAAATCAAATTTGAATTTGTTGAAATTACTGCGCATTATTTCATTGGCACAATTCTTTTCCAATTCTTTGCGCTTTCGCTCCGCATCCAAATCGATGGACATGCCGAAATCACATATTTTACAAACACCGTTATGATCGAGAAGAACATTACGGGCTGCCAAGTCACGATGAACAATCTATAAGAGAAAATTAATGAAATTTGATGTAAATATTGTTAAAAATGTAGTGCAGGTAATGTTAGAGAAAATCGAAGTTCACCAAGAGGAAAATCCAACATTTATAAGGTCAGGATGAAACCGTTTAGTGTGTTATTTCATTATTTCTTTCAATGATCATCATATTTTATAAATATATTTTCCAAGGACTATCAGAGCACAAGGCATGGATTTTTAAAAGAATTTTTAGGACTAACAGAGCACAAGGCTTGACTTTTTATAAATAGTCTTTTTTTTTAAGAATTTTGTAGGACTATCAGAGCACAAGGCGTGGATTTTTATAAATATTTTTTTCCAAGGACTATCAGAGCACAAGGCGTGGATTTTTATAAATATTTTTTTCCAAGGACTATCAGAGCACAAGGCGTGGATTTTTATAAATATTTTTTTCCAAGGACTATCAGCGTACAAGGCATGGATTTTTATAAATATTTTTTCCAGGGACTATCAGCGTACAAGGCATGGATTTGTATACCCTACACAACTATGTTGTCAGGGTATTATAGCTTTGTGCAGCCCCAAAAGTTTGTAACGCCGCGAAATATTGGTCCTAGACCCACCTTTAAGTATACCGATCGTCATATCTCGACTAGCTGAGTCGATCTAGACATGTGTGTCCGTCCGTCCGTCCGTCTGTCCATTATAATTTGTAAACACGATACAGACCACAATTATGGACCAATCTTCACGAAATTTTGCATGTAGAATGGGTTCTGGCCAATGAAGACCCCTATTGTTTTTGGAAAAGATCGGTTAATATTTAGGGGATGAAATGGACCAAATACTAAATTTTTGTCGGTTTTTCTGGTCGCTCCAGAGGCCGCAATTATGGCCCGAACATCGTGAAATTTTGCATGGAGAAGGGGATTGGGGCAAAGAATAAGCATGCCTGTTTTGAAAAAGATCGGTCAATATTTAGCGGGTCAAATGGACCCTGACTTTTGTGTGAAAAATGACAAAATTTGTATTCTTTGGCGTATATATTTGCCCCTGAAGGACCTAGACCCAAAAAGTTGATAGTATGTTAAAGAGGAGTGGTTGACCTTTAAATTGATACCAATTATGGTGTCATATGTACTCAGATGTGGGAGCTACACTTAAATATTTACAGGTGCTTACGCATTCAGACATTATTTAGTAACCCAAAACCACACTAGAGGGCGGAAATATAGCGCTGATCGCTTTGAAAATTTCCATGAGATTTCAGTTATGGTCAAGGACAACGCCTATAACTTTCGGTGATGATCAGAAAATAATTTTTGGATGCAGTGGACCGAAAACTTAATTATTTTTGTGATATTTTCGTGTCGATCTATAGATCACAAATGAAAGCTGAACATCACAACACAACCCACGGTGAAAGGAATCTCGACCCTAGCTGTACTGATTACTCGTAATATTCGGAAAATATATCAGTGTAAGGAAGAGGTGCTGCTTACCTCTAATCGGGCAATAGAATGCAATTATCACGAAATATTGCCCAGGCTCGGAATAAACATCCGCAGAAAGTTCGGTTTCGGTGGTAGTTGTGTAGGGTATCGTATGGTCGGCCCCGTCCGACTATACTGCTCCGCTCACTGGTTATAAATATTTTTTCCAAGGACTATCAGCGTACAAGGCATGGATTTTTATAAATATTTTTTCCAAGGACTATCAGAGCACAAAGCGTGGATTCTTAACATAATATTTTTTTTAAGGACTATCAGGGCCCTAAGCGTGGATTCTTAACATAATATTTTTTTTAAGGACTATCAGGCCCTAAGCGTGGATTCTTAACATAATATTAAATTAAAATAATATTTTTTTTTTCAATGACTATTAGAGCCCTAAACGTTGATTCTTAAAATAATATTTTTTTTGAAGCAAAAGGAGAGCATTTATTTTAGGTAAATTTATTTCATAGACTATTAGAGCAAAACACATAGATTTTTTTAAAATATTTCAAGAACTATATCAGTTATTCTTTGTTATAAATGCTTTGAAGATAATTTCCTAATACAAAAAAGAAACTTACTCTCTTTTCGGCTATATATTCCATGCCACGTGCAATGTCCAAACAAAAACCGGCTAAGGTACGCGGAGATAAGGGAGCTAAGCTGCGACCACCTGGCACAGAGGCTGGTAAAATATTTGTAGCATTACGGGCAGCCCTCAGCAAGGATAAGAGACGGCCACGCATTGCATATTCCATGATTAACATGTGAGGTTCTGTAACAACAAAAAATATTGAATATCATTAACACATTCTCGTCGTAATGTAATTGCTACACAATAACTTAACCTGTTTCCACACAAGCGCCCAGCAGGGTTACAACATTTTGATGTGAACCCAATTTACGCATAATATTCCCCTCTTCCTTAAGACTCAGTTGAGTGCTACAAGCCTTAATGGTCTTAACTGCCACAATGCGTGTTGCTCCAAAATGACCGCTAAGATCATCCGCTTCAGCTTTCCAAACTTGACCGAAATTACCCTCACCCAGAAGGCTTTTCAGGCGAATATTTGAACGATCAAATTCCTGATCACTTGTTACGGAACTTTTGTCGTCGTAACGTTGTTGCGCAGTTGTGTTGTGATTGTGATTATTGTCACGGACCAAAGGTGGTGCCACCAGCTTACTGTGTAAACTATGCTGACGCTGCGGCGGTTTTTTCGTATGATGATCCACAACATCTTCATCCTCTTCCTGTTGATATTTACCATCGAGTTTTTTAACTGGACTAATGGGCTGCTGATCGGTAATACAAACATCAAAATCTTCATCATCTTTAATGGGACGTTTCAGGAGATAATTGCGGAGGAAATATAAAATTATGGCCAACAGGGGTACAATACCAATACCGGCCAAGACCATGGTAACGATGTTCATACGTTGCATTTCCAAAGAGATTTCCTGATCATCGGTTACCACACTGGAGGAAATTTCTCCGGTAACCTGAGGTTGTCTCGTTGTACTTGTGGTGGCAGGTTGAGTTACACTAGGATATGATTCTTTGGTGGGGGGATTTTCATTGAATGTGGAAATGGTGCTGGCTCTCATTGTAGTTGGACCACTGTCGGTGGTAAAGCTTTGGACATAGGGTCTCATTGTTGTGGTACGATTAACAAAAATAATAATATTTGTATCATCATCGTGTTCTTGTACTAAACTTGGACCCAAAGCTCTCAACAATTCGTTATCCTTTTCAATGATATCTGATTTTCGAGTGGTAGTGGGGATTTCGGTTGTTGTGGTGGTTGTAGTAGAGGTACTTGAGGTACTGGTAGTGCTTGGTAAAGGTGTGGTGGTAGTTGTTGTGGGTGGCATGGGTGTTGTTGTTGTTGTTGTCGTAGTGCTAGTCGTCGTGGTTGAAATTGGAGCCAAAGTAGTTGGAATAACTTTTACAAAGGTTTTGGGAATATATTCGGAATATTTTCTAGGAGCCGGCGTACTTGTTGTTGAGCTGCTTGTAGTTGCCATGGTGGTGGTTGTAGTTTTTACAGGCTCCGTAGTAGTTGTTGTAGTTGTAGTAGTGGTCGTTGAACTTGTAGTAGATGCCATAGTTGTCGTTGTCGTTACCCTTGCTGTTGTTGTGGTAGTTGGCTCTGTGTTGGGTATATACGATATAGGTGATGTTATTTCTTCATCACTCAACACAGTTATAATTAAAGGAGTAGCAGATACTATGCTATCCTCCTTCTCCCTCAATGCCTCTCTGGCTATAGTGGCCACAGTGGCATCAATTTTTTTCACCACAGAAATTTCTGTGACACTTTCTGTTTTATTATTTTTTAGCGGCTGAACTTTAAGCGGTTGCTCAGTGACAATTCGTAATGTGGTTGTTTTCACATCGGTGGGAGCTTCGGGGGTTGTACCTCTATGTAGAGTGGTGTAACGCCTATTGAAACTAACACCACCACGTGGATTATATTTAAAACGTGCCCGACTTCTTTCAACGGCAGAGAGCGTCGAAGTGATCGTTACAGGTGTTGTCGATGTGGGTATATCCTCAGCCACCGATACTTCCAGCAATTTTGGATGTTCATCACTTACCGAGGTAATGGTTAAGGCATTCGGTTTTAATGGTGGTAATTTTTGACCAAAATATAAATACGGTTGTATTTCATCATCTTCAATGGAGGTGGTGGCCACCGTAACCATAGTACCCGGCTTACGTCTTCCTCTCAATTTGCTGGCGGCTCCAATACCCTTCACTTCATCGGTGATATGATTGGCTGTATCATTTTGTTCCTTCGCAATTACCAGCAGACCATGAGAGGATTCATCGGTGAACAGAATTTCATTGGTATCCTTTTCTCCAGCCTGTGCTGTTCCAGTTCCTTTTTTCGAAGAATTTTTCACCATAACAAGACTATCAGTACCACCAATGATTGTTGGTCCGCTGCCCACACGTGAAAAATTCGCACATTGTCGCATGCAGCTAGCTGTTGTTCGTCGAGTAAAATTTTTCGTACAATTTCGTATACAAATCGATCTTGGATCGGTGGGTGATTTCGATGTCGTTTCAACAGCTGTTGCTGTACGCCCCGTAGTGCCAATGCGATTGCGAAAACCTGGTCTGTGTAGGGCATTGCGTCGTGCTGCCAATACATCCATTAGACGACGTTCTCTTTCCTGTGCCGCTGTTAGTTGTGGAGTTACAGAGGGTCGGGTGGGACGATAGGTTGTGGGAGATACACTTGAATGCTCGTAACCATCTGTAAAGAAAAAGAAACCACAAATGAATTTATTAATTTGAATCGATTAAAACTTGGTAAAATTGATTTAGTTCTGCAACCTTTAATATTTTATTGCTTGGTTTAATATTCAATCTTAGTTTGAAATTGTGTAAATTTTATGACATTTCAAATTACCTTGTTTCCCTTGTATATATTCAATTAATGCAAGAATGTTTGTATACACATGTATGAGTGATTTAGTCTTTGACGTTACATTTGTTAGGTCAATCTGGTTTTAAACAATTAAATTACCGGTTTTAACCATTCATTTTGCCAATTGTGACCTATAGCCAAAGGGATATATTAATAGCACGCTCATAAAATTAGTACAAAAGTGAATACACACATTTTTACGCACTTGTTTCTAACAATCTCACGAATTAATTCATTAATCATTATTAGCTATATTTAATTTGTAAGCATTTACTCTTTGCAGTCAGCAGTAGGCTATTCTGTCTGATAATATGAAACGTCCATGCCCAATAAAAACTACATTGAAAGCTCAAACGCCAAAGCATTAACAACCGTAGGCCATATAAACTGCCTTCAAATCGGCATTCAGATACAATAACATATTTGTGTGTGATATTTGATTTACACTTCGTAAGGAAAATCGTTTCATTATCTACCACATTATCCAATTACCTGTAACCAATAATTCAATGAAGCATATAAAATCGAGTTTAGTCGATACAAAAGAAACCTTACAAGTTAATAAAATAAATACCGCATTATTAGGTTTGCTTAGGCTATTGTTGGTTATTTTATTACTTTTTTCAATTTGTTTGTCAAGTGATACAGTAGCAATTCACACAGACAATTTTTGTAAATTACACCGTCTATATATTCTTAAGATTCCATGTAATTTACTTATTTATTATTTAATTTATAACACAACTTTTTTCATGCTTGTAAATCTTGCTTATACATCTGCTATACCCTGAGATAGTCATGAATCATCCAGAGAAAGTCTATCATAAAATACATCATGGCATAATTGGACACAACTATGTTGTCAGGGTATATATGTCAAGAGTTTGTAACGCCGCGAAATATTGGTCCTAGACCCACCTTTAAGTATACCGATCGTCATATCTCGACTAGCTGAGTCGATCTAGACATGTGTGTCCGTCCGTCCCGCCGTCCGTCTGTCCATTATAATTTGTAAGCACGATATAGACCAAAGTTATGAACCAATCTTCACGAAATTTTTCATGTAGGATGGGTTCTGGCCAATGAAGAACACTTTTGTTTTTGGTAAAGATCGGTTAATATTTAGGGGATGAAATGGACCAAATATTGAATTTTTGTCGGTTTTTCTGGCCGCTCTAGAGGCCACAATTATGGTCCGAACATCTTGAAATTTTACATGGAGTTTTCATAAAGATCGGTCAATATTATGCGTGTCAAATGGACCCTGACTTTTGTGTGAAAAATTCTAAAATTTGTATTATATAGCGTATATATACTCCTGAAGGACATAGACCCGAGAAGTTGACAATATATCAAAGATGATTGGTTGGCCTTTAAATTGATACAAATTTTAATGTCGTATGGACTCGGATGTGGGTTTTTACATGTAAATATTTACAGGTACTTACGTATTCAGATATTATTTGGTAAAACATTGCCACACTGGATGGTGAAAATATAGCCCAGATGACCTTTAAATGTTCCATCAGGTTCCAGTTATGGTCAAGGACAATGCCTTTAATTTTCGATGATTACCAGATAATAATTTTGCAATGAAGTGGACCGAAAACTTATTTTTGTATTTTGTTCGAGTCGATTTATAGGCCGCAATTGAAAGCCGAACATCACAACACAACCCACGCTGAAGGGAATCTGGACAAATAATTAGAAGAGAGCGCAAATATCACAAAATATTGCCCAAGCTCAGAATATAGTACCACCGAAAGTTCGATGTTTATGGAAGTTGTGTGGGGTATCATATGGTCGGCCCCGTGCGACTATACCGACTATACCGCTCACTGGTTATACCCTACACAACTATGTTGTCAGGGTATTACAGATTTGTGCAGCTCCAAGAGTTTGTAACGCCGCGAAATATTGGTCCTGAACCCACCTTTAAGTATACCGATCGTCATATCTCGACTTGCTGCGTCGATCTAGACATGCGCGTCCGTCCGTCTGTCCATTATAATTTGTAAACACGATACAGGCCAAAGTTATGGATCAATCTTCACGAAATTTTGCATGTAGGACCGGTTCAGGCCAATGAAGACCCCTATTGTTTCTGGTAAAGATCTGTTAATATTTAGGAGATAAAACGGGCCAAAAACTTTATTTTTGTCTCATAGCGTATAGACATTGACCCGAGAAGTTGATAATATATCCAAAAGTAGTGGTTGAACTTTAAATTGATGTCAATTATATTGCCTAATTTACTCGGATGTGGTAGTTACACATAAATATTTACAGGTGCTTACGTATTCATATAATATTTAGTAACCCTCTAGTTTGGTGAAAATATAGCGCTGATCGCTTTAAAATTTTCCATGAGGATCCAGTTATGGTCAAGGACAACGCCTATAATTTCGAGTCGATCACAACATAACCCATACCCAATATTCAGTACAGCCCTTTTAATTACTTGTCCAGATTCCCCTCATCGTGGGTTGTGTTGTGAAAAAATAAGTTTTCGGTCCACTTCGGTAAATATGTCAGTGTAAGGAAGAGTTATGGTTGATCTCCAATCGGTCAAGAGGATGCAAATATCACGAAATGTTATCCAGGCTTGAAATAAACATCCGCAGTAATTTAGAGTACCGTGGTAGTTGTGTAGGTATGGTCGGCCCCGTCCGACTGTACTGCTCTGATCACTGTTTTTTTTTTATTTTTATAAAGTCTTATTCTATGTAGACCATTTCTTCTTATTAACATAAAGAAAATAATTCCATATTTTACAATTATACAGGAGAGACAAACTCATCACTACAAAACAACAACAACAAATGAGCCGTAACCATTCCGCGCTAAAAAATCCACGCTAAAAGGTCCACTTTTCGTCGAGCAAATCAATACAAATATCCAAGCTTATAGGTTTGTTATACCACGAAAAAAATATTTAAAAAATCCAAGATTTTATGCTAGCTATACCCTGATAAAATATGTTTTAAAGTACGCGATTCTACGCTTGTTACATTCTGAGGCATGTATTTTAAAAAATCCATGATTAAATACCAGCTATACCCTGCGAAAATATACTTAAAAAAACGATGTTTATAGGCTACCTATTCGGCAAAAAATCCTAGCTTATAGGACTGGTACATATAAAAATATATTTAAAAATTCAATACCCTGAACATTTATACATAAATTCCAGTTTTACCGTACAGTCATATCTTGAGAAAATATATTCACAACTTCCAGGCTTATAATCCAGTCATATCCTGAGAAAATATATTCATAAATTACAGTCCAGCTATATCCTGAGAAAATATATATCCATAAATTTCAGAGTTATAGTCCAGCTATATCCTGGAAAAATATATCCATAAATTTCAGGCTTATAGTCCAGTTATATCCTAAGAAGATATATTTAAAAATCCATGCTTATAGGACTGATAAAATATTAGTTATATAAAAATGCATCCTTATAAGCGCGAAGAAACTATTTAAAAGAATAACGTTTATAGGTCTACAAAAACATAAAATATACCTTATTAAATTTGTACAATATATCTTCTTAAAATTTCACACCCTATAGCGTGAAATCCCAATTCGAAAAAGTAAATAATTCTGATTATACACAAAATAATAAAAAATAAAATTAATAATAAAAACAAATAACACATCAACACAACAGATTTGTGTAGAAATTCACAGAATGCATCACCGAAATGACCAATAAAAAATGCTAAATAACAATCAATCACCTGTGTCGTTTTAACTTGAACTGCGACCAAATACGACGATGACAATAACCACAACCACTTCTGAATGAAATCAAAATCAAATCAAAAAAACACTTTTGATCTCAAATTGTTGTGATGACTAGTTTTAAAATGTTATACTGAGTTATGTTAATGTTGTTGTTATATTTGTGCATTCCATCCATTGTTTGGCTTGGATTTTGTCATAAACAGTGTTACGTTTTTTTGTTTAGGATCCAAACCGCCCCAAAACAGAGCAACAGAAGCTATGCAGCATGTGATGATGATGATGCCGCTTAACAATTTTAGTTAATGTATTTTTGTTTCGTCTTAATAACCTCATTACAAACTCGTGTACGAACTAAACAAAAAATAATTAAACATGAAACACTTAAAACAAGACGTCATGTTTTTATATTTTTTGGGGAGACATGTTATTTAATTGAAACTAGTTTCTGTTTTGGGTGATGTTTTTTGTTTTGTTATGTTTTTTTTTCAAATTCCATTTGATTGTTTAATGTTTTGTTTTGACTGTTTTATGACGTTTTGACATTTTTTTCGTATTCCTTTAATGCATTTATGTTAATTTGTTAAAAAAAACACATTCCATTACTTTGCTGTATGGCGTTCTTCTTATTCCTATGTTTTTTTTCATCTTGTGAACATAAAACTGGTTATTTTGTTATCATTATTTCGCATCAGAACCTTGAACGTTCTTCAAAAATATCGAAGAAAAACGTGACTGTTTTATTCAATAGAGTATCAAATCAGGTATTCATTTTGCAGGTGATTGCTTAAATGTATGTTGACAAATTGTCAATATTCATAAAAATGAGTTTGTTTCTTAAGTCTTTTGTTTTATATTGAATATTGTGTGTTGTAGAACAGTTGTATAACAAACGCCGCAGGCTCGAGAGTATTTTTTATTATTCCATTGGATACATATCGAAATATTTGTCGGCACAAAATAATGTACAAATATATATACGAGGTCTGCTCAATCAACAGAACAATTTAAATATTTTGCAAAATTTTTAAGTCAAAAGTTTTTCAGGAACCTTCATGCAACCCTAATTTAAGGGA